TGTAATATAATTACTAATAAGGTTGGATTTATGGTTAACTTTTTGTTATTTTTCCAGTTTATCTGATCTTCGCTCCTTTAGTCCTCAATCTCTTTTTTCAGATGATTTTTTTGGGGGGGCGGTCTTTGAGACAGGATCTCATTATGTAGTTCAGGGTGGCCTTGAGCTCACTCTGTAGCCCAGGCTGGCCCCAAACTTACAGCTATCCTCCTGCCTCGGCCTCCTGAGTGCTGGGATTACAGAGATGCACCACCAGACCCAGGCTCTGAATATTGTAAAAATTTCATTTCATCTATAAATCTTAGATTTAAAATTATTTGTTCTCATGATTGACAGTAATCTTAGAGGTTACAATATTGACTAATGATTTGTTAGTTTTCTTAAATTAGTACTTTTACAACTTCCCACATACAGTAAGAATCTTACACATACTTCCACTACTGTTATATATTTTGTTTAAAATACATATATATAACAAAAGTGCATGTCTTTAAGACATTACTGCTTTTTAGTCAGTATTCTACCTGCCTGTCTACTTGTCCATTGTTTTCCACTCTTACTAGGGTTCTACCCTTCCATCTGGAGTTCTTTTCTTTCAGACTAAAAGACTTCCTTTAGGGGCTGGGGACTTAGCTCAGCGGCAAAAGCGCCTGCCTGGCAAGTGCAAGGTCGTGAGTTCGGTTCCTGGTACCGGAGGAAAAAAAAAAAAAAGACTTCCTTTAATATTTTTTAGAACATGAGTCTGTCAGTGCCAAACTCTCAGCTTTTGCCTATCTAAACATGCGTTATTTGACCCTTATTGAGAACATTTTTATTGAGTGGAAAATTTACTTATTTATATTATTGGTACACTGTATGCATACATAATGATCACGTTCATCATAGGGAATTTTTCCCCCAGCATTTTAAAGATTCCTTCCCGCCATGCGGTTTCCGAAGTTCCTACTGGAAAAGTCAGCCGTTGGTTTTACCGTGGCTCTCTGAAAATCGTCATTCCTCTCGGGCTGTCTTTTAGGGTTTTGTGTCTTTGGTCTTCAACAGTTTGTCTATGGTATTCTGGGGTGTGTTGTTTCATCTTGTTCCACGTGGAGTTCACAGGGTTTCACAGACCTGCAGATTGGTGTCTTTCATCAGTTTTGGAAAATTCTCAGCCATTATTCTATCAAGTGGCTTCTGCTCCACCCCTTTCCTTGTGGCATCTCCTGTACAGTTAGCCTGTCCCACAGTCTTGAGCTTTGTTTTTGGTTTTGTTTTGCATTCTTTTAACCCTCTTCACTTCAGTTTGACGGTTTCTGTTTTCAAGGACTAATCCTGTCTTCTGCGGTCCATTGTGCTTTTAAACCCATCCAATGAGTTCTTACTTTCAAGTATCATTTTTACTTTTTTTAAGTATTAATGTATTACAAATCATAGGTGGAAAATTAAATGATTTTTAGCAAATTTATAGTTAAGTTTCCATCAGCATAACTCATTTTTTTTCAAGAATATGTTTTAGAGGCGGGTGTGGTGGTGCACACCTGTAACCCCAGCACTCGGGAGGCTGAGGCAGGAGGATTGCTGAGTTTGAGGCCAGCCTGGGCTACAAAGTGAGCTCAAGGCCAGCCTGGACTACATAGTGAAACCCTGTCCCTAAAAAGGAAGAAAAAAGAAAAAAAACCCCAACAATATATTTTAGACAAATTCTTAATTTATTTCAAACACAAGGAAATCCAAACACTAACTGCCAACCAGCCCATCAATATATTAAAACTTTAGGGGGGTAAATTGCCCCACTTAAAGATCAAGAACTTCACCTTCGTAAAAGTGTACGATTTGGTGGTTTTTTAGTGCAGTCACCTAGGTTTGTAACCACTGCCATTATGTAATGACAGAACACTTCTATGATCACAAGAAACACAACCCCCATTAGCGGTCACTCTCCTCTCTCCCTCTCCCCGCCAGCAACCATTAATCCACTGTCTCTGGAGATTTGCCTATGCTGGACACTTTCTATAAATGGAATCAGAGTATGTGACCCCTTATGCCTGGCTTCTGAGAATTTTCTGGGCATTCACGTTGTAGCATTTATCAGCAGCTGATACACTTTATGGTTGGACAGTATTTACTACATGGATATGCTGCTTTTGTATCCACCATCAGACCTATTTGGGTCGTTTCTATTATGTGGCTATTGCAAGGAATGCTGTTGTGAGCGCCCAGGTATAAAATACGTCTCAACACTCCTGTGTATAAACCTGGGAGTGAGCCTGCTGGTTCCTATGATGGCTCCACAATGTAAGTGCTGGAGAAACAGCCAAGTTTTGCTGTACATCATGGTCAGCAATGTGTGAGGGTTCTAATTTCTCCACATCTTGCCAGCATTTTATTGCCCATCTTCTTGATTACAATCATCCTAGTGAGGCCTGTGTTTCAATTCTCAGCACGGTCAAAAAAGAAGAAAAAAGCACTGCCATTCTGGTGGGGTGAAGTGGTATCTCATTGTGCTTTTGAGTTACACTTCCTTGAAGACCAGCGCGAGATCTTTTCGTATGTACTATGGTGCGGATACGGTTCAAGGGTGTCCTCCAAGAGTTCCTGTGTTCAAAGTGTGGTCCTGGGTATGGCAATGTGGGGAGGCAGTGAAACCTAGAGGATGGGGGCTGGGAGGCAGGCATTCAATCACAGCGGGTGCTACCCTTGGGAGGAACTAATGCAGTTCTCCCGGGCCCCTGGCGAAGGTTGTTATGGAAATTAGATGGGCCCCTTCTGTGTCACTATGTGAGGTCTTCCACAAGCTGTCCTGCCACAGTGACCCGATCTGCCACAAGGACCTCCCCAGAGCCAAACCCACGGGAGTGCCATGCCCTTGACCCTCCAAGGCTGTGTGCTAAACAAACATCTTTGTAAAACACCCAGCTCCAAGTATTCTGTTCAATGGACAAAATCCAGCATATTTACTGGGCATTTGTACATCTTCTTTGGAGTGTTCTTACACCTTCTATTGAGGTGTAAGAATTTGTCAAATATTCTGGATGCTGGACCCTTACCTACAATCCATTTTTAGAACAATCCTACTGTTCCAAAAGATCCCTCTTGCCTTTTGAAAGTCAGTTCCCACTCTTAACTCCCAGGACCAGGCGATCACTGAAGTGCTGCGTGTTCGCTCCCCTTTAATAAAAAGTCATTATGACGTTATCGAGTGTTTACCCTGCACTTTAGAAGCCCTATGCTTACTTTCCAGCATGCCATGCACAACTGTAAAGTCCAGCTGATGTCCTGTAAGACAGCCGGTCATACATGTGGGGCGTCTCAGCTTCCCAGTGCCTTTATGGCCAAGAGCCTTGAGATTTCCTTTCCTCTTCTGAGCCCCTCTACATGGGCCGAACTCAACGAAGGTGAGCGGGAGAAAAGCATCAAGAGGGCTTCCCCCTTTGAGATTCCAATCCATGTAGCCTCTGTTGCTTGCACGCTGTTCTAGTGTTTTGTGTTATTTTGGTGTTTTGAGTTTTGTCTGGTGTTGTAGGAGTATTAGGTTCTTGTGACCTAACATAGCCTCTCCATCAACTATTCAGTTTTCAGTGTCTTGATATAGTGTCAGTTCTCTCTCTTAACCTACTCCTAGATAGACTTTGGCTATCTGGGGCACAACCTTTCTGTATGGATTTCTGAAACCATTCATCATGGAGATTTAATGGAAAACCATTAGTTTGGACTTGCAAAGTCTCCCCAAGGTCCGCGTGTTAAAGATTTGGTTGCCAGCCTGTGGCACTATTGGAAAGGGATAGAAACTTTTAGGAGGTGCAGCCTAGAAGGAGAAAGTTAGGGTGCTGGGGGTGCACCCTTGAAGGGGGTATTGGGACCCCTCAGTCCCTGCCTCGCTTTCTGCTTCCCAGCCAGATGAGCAGGTATCACCGGCCACATGTTCCCTCCAGGATGCTCAGTATCACCTGAAGGCTGTCACAGGCCCAAAGAAAGAGCACAAACAGCCACTGGCTCAAATCTCGGCAACCTCAGGTAGTTTGTCACAGTCATAGAAAGCACACAGTCTACACTGAATTTTTTGAGTTCAGACAACTGAAATGTTTATGCTTTTGAGAGTTCTCCATGAATGTAGTATACCTATCTCTTGAGCAGATTTCTACAAGGTCTTTCAATACTTTGTTTTCTACATAAACAAACTATACATTGTCAGATTTGATCCTAAATATTCTACACTTTAGGATCTTTTAAACCTTTTAGAGCACTTTGTTTCAGAATAGGTAACATACTCACACATTTCTAAAGCTCCAAAAGGCACACACTGACAACTTCCCACTTACTTTCCCTTGCTGCCCAAGTTTCTTTCAGAAGAATCAATGTTACCAATTTTTTTAACTTTCAATGTCGCTGCTATATACAGTAACTATACTAACATTTGTTTCTCAACAAGGTATCTAGAAATCTAGTTTCTTTTTTTTTTTTTTTGGGTTTTTGTTTTTCTCCGGTACCGGGAACCGAACTCATGACCTTGCACATGCCAGGCAGGTGCTTTTGCCGCTGAGCTAAATCCCCAGCCCCTCTAGTTTAATTCTTAATGTTTCTAAGAATGTGTAGGTTATATTACACACACACACACACACACACACACACACCTGTAGAAAGTAATCATTTTGTCATTTCTTTCCTATTCATTATTCCTTTTACTGTCTCACTATATTGGATAGGACGTCTCTAAATAAAGTAACTGAAAAGTAGCTGGACAGTACCTGTGGTGGTGAACAACTTTTACTCCAGCCTTTATGAGACGGCTTCTATTTCATGCTTTTATATGACATTTGCTGTAGTTCTTGGAGGAAGTCTCTAAAAAAGTATTGGTCATATTTTGCTACGAGTGAGCTTCATTTTACCCAATTATTCTCTGCAACTATTTATTTGCCTTTAACCTCTATTAAATGTGCTGAATCCCATGCAAAAAGTAGTCTCAAAATATTTTTACCCAAATTGATACTTATTTTCACGAGGGAGAAAAAAAGAGAGAAGCCTTTATGGTAGTGAAAATATACTTTATTTTTAACATAATAGCTGCCAGCAATATACTGGTATTGATGTTCCAGAGAGAGAAAAGAAAATACAAGCATTCTATGATAAGCTTTCATTTGCCTATTCATGTAATTCTAAAGAAAATACTCCAATTCTGTTCAACATTATGGCTTAGGAGTTGAATTTTTTGTCCATGACAGAAATGTAATTTTGGTTGCCCCAACCATGATAATCTGTAAAGGATAGAACTTTTAAGAGCCTACAAATAAAATGAATGCTTCCCTCTCTTTGAATTAAATATTGATTATAACCAGTGTAAGAAATTGGTGAATCAATTAACTTGATGAAATGTGTATCAAAATGTTCATGAAAAAATAATTTGTATTTCCTTTCATTTTCACTATAGATATTTCCTAAATGGGATTTCTAAATGCACAGAATTAAAAGCTATCTACATGCAATTTTGGAGATATTCAAAACTCCACAAAAGCAAAAAAAATGCCTAAATTCTAGAGTTGATCCACTTGTAGGACTAAATATCCCAAGTCTTTTTAATTGTATACACATTACTCTAACGTTTAAAGTTGTGAAGCCAAAGTTACTCAGAAATAATATTTTATTTGACATCTTTCTGAACATCTGCATCTAAACCAAAGGGAAGTTGATAATATTGACTGGAAGAGATCTTCTCAACTGTTTAATGAGAAATTTTTTCAGCATCTTCGGAAAATAGTGAGACTTTCCACTCATGCTCCAATCTCCTCACTGACATGTAACAAAAGTTGATTAAATGAAGAGGGAAATGATTCATTAGTTGTAGAAATAAAATTAGATGATTTCCACATGTCAACACATCCATGCACTACATGAGTTGCCATGGAAACTTTACAGCCCAAATCTCTCAGGATGTTAAGCCATCATCTTTCTACAAACATATGAAGTGCAAGATCTTCCTTTTTACTAGGTTTTGTCCATTTACCCTTCTCAATTTTCTTATACTTAAAAGACACAGTCTTTTTTTGAGGGGGGGGGCGGTACCGAAAATCGAACTCAGGATCTTGCAGTTGCCAGGCAGGCACTGTGCCACTGCGCTATATCCCTAGCATTCTCAATTTTCTTTGACTAACTTCCTTGACAGAGAAATAAAACCTATCTTCCTGCGGAGGAAAAACAGTTCTGCTTTTGCTAAAATCATGGACTTGCCTTCCTCGGACAGCCAGGAAGACACCCGAGGGTAATCACTGGACAGATAAAAATAATAAAAAGAAAATAAATATGCAAAGTGAAATTATTTCACAATTGAGTTTCCAAATGCTTTTCAGCACTCTGCTTTGAGGAATGGAGCTCTTTCCACCAGGAGCCTCCACTCTGCACCGCTTCGTCCACACCCACCCCTGTCAAATCCTTCTCATGCTTAAAGCTGCAAGGTCAGGCTCAGTATCACCTGGAGATCAAGGTGCTGCTATTTAAAAAGCAGATGCTGCTGCTGCTGCTGCTGCTGCTGCCGCTGCTGCTTGCCTATGACTGATGCAGCTGGCCACTTTCACCCACTGAAGCTACCACAATGCAACTTCTTGATGTTATTTTCTAGAACCAGAAAAATCTTCACCCAATATTTAATTACACCCAATATGTAATTACAATATTTAATTACAGTGGTGCTCAAACTTCTATCAGCAGTAAGTAGTAGTAAGAAAGGTAAGGCAAAGGGATCTCCCTAAGCCAAATGGATACAATATGGAGCTTTTCTTCTCTTTCCATAGGAAGCTAGTTACTGACAGATGTAAAAATGTAGCATGCTTATAAAAGTCGGGCTGCCTCCATCAAATCAGTGCTTACTAAAAATGTCAGCATACCAAAAGGGGGAAACAATGCCATCTGAAAGCAATGTACTTTTCAAAAGCCTGTAAGAAATAGCACTTCTTAGACAAGTTAGGTATAAAAATTACCAAAAATGTATCACAGTCACAGCCAGTCTTTGGAGTAGTACTGCACTTACAAAGCCCATTTTGTTGAAGAAGCAGCAGCAGAAAGGAAAAAATAATACAAAGCAAACTTCTGTTCTCCTTTTACCAAGTTCATTCTTTGTTAGAGCATAAATAATTCCTAATTTAGGACTTTAATTAAAAAAGAAAACAAAAACAAAAAAACACAGAATACTATTCCTCGGTGTAGTTGCAGAAAAATTTAACTCAAGGATAACAGTGATGAGATGAGACAAAACAGCTACAATTTAATCCAAAAGCAGTGAACAATCCTCTATGCAAAGTCTAACAGTCAATGGAAGTGGAAAGAGTGTTTTATCATTTTTAATATAGGGTGGATAATGCATTCTGTAGATTATCTACATTAAATATGCTTCGGAAACAAAATTCACTGCATACTGTGACAAACCCATCCTACATTCCTTAGGTTAATTCCTGTAAGAATTAATTTTTATATTGCTAATCACCATACTGCTATAACTAAATCAACTAAATACCAATTTATGTAGTGTTGCTCAAAAGATTTACAAACAGCAAGGTCTACTGCTGCTTAAAAGGGAGTTTTTAAAACAAAGAAGGCAATAATGTTCCAAATGAATGGCACTGGGCAAAATACATAACGAACGACACATGCAGACAGAGGCCCCGTGCCCGTGGGTTCTCCTGTAAGGGTCAGATGCTTGAGATCCTGACAATACCATCCCTGCCTCTAAGCTTTTAGCTTCCACACGGTGTCAGATGTTACAATTCATATGAAGGAAAATGACTTTAGGCAAAATTTAAAAATCCACCTACAAAGAAAGTAACAATCTGTAGTGACTTTCTGCAGCAGGCCCTCTTCTCTGGTGGTGACATCCTTTAGCTCATACCCAGGAGAGACTAAACTGAAGCAGTGTCTCTGATACAGCAGCAGCCCTTTCATGTGCTCTTATGACATACAACAAAATTGAAAAGAAAAACCGTGAATATTCCTTTTACCATGCACTGTGCACCCGTTTGGGGCTGCTGATGTCATGGCTACTATTTTAAGGGTTAAACATAAACATTGCACCTCAAAAGTTTTGCCATCTATACACAGTGCATGGACACAACGGCGAAGGTTCTCGGGAGGGCAAACGGCGCTGCACATGAAGGGCTTGTGATGGAGTGTCTCCAAGCTGGGGAGAGAAGGCTACGGACAGGGAGGTAGGCAGGGGAAAGGATTTTAAAATAATACTGCTTAGGAGTGTATATATTAACTACGATACCTTGTCTATCCTTGACCCTAACCTTGAATAACTGCAGGGTCATGCAAAATACATTTCTACTTCATAGGAAGAGGAGCAGTCTGTTAGGAAAAGCGTACTCTTAAGGGAAGAAGATTTGAAGATGTCTCTCCTGTAAGTGCTGTTTTACTTGGTAAGTCTTTTGGCGACATCACTGTATGCTATTTCGACCTCCTTATCACTGGGACAGGTATTGGTGAACTCATCCCTACTATAAGCATTAGTTAAGTATCTCCAGATGCCAGTCATTCCTTTTGGAATATCGAAGTTGCGATATTTTTTGGCAACCACCTGAAATACAGAATTCAAAAGTTAGAGCAAATTATTCTGTGAGTCTTTAAGACCACTTCTAAAAGAAGTCCGTCACCACCATTTTAACTCTTCTAAGTAATGATTAGAACCAGACTCGGAAATGTGATAGTGACTGCTTCAGATGTACAGAGAAACAGCTTCAGACGTAATCACTGCATAAATGCTTTTAAAATGCACACGATTTTAGACCTATTTTCTTTCTCTTAGACCTTTACTGAACAGCTAGTTGTTACTACTGTTCTACCTAACAAGGTGTCTCCCATAATAAATGCTCAACATTTTTGCCTTAAATAGAAAAGGTCAGGTGATCATAGAACAGAATCTGACAATGTAAGTCAGAGTAGCAACTCCAGTTATCTATTACGTCATTTAATTCAGTCAGAAAAAAGAAAAGTAAATAACAATATTCTCCTGTTTCATATGCCTCATTTTAAGACATAATTTTCATTTAATTAACTCTAGGGTGTCCGACTGTGCCTAAACAGCATTATGCTACACTAACTGGGGAGTTCCTAGTAGAAGAAGGTCGGAGAAGTTTTAAGCACACAGGGAACACTATCTCAGTAAACATAACATTAGGTCTAATGGCAGTGGCCACCACCTCCAAAAGGCCTACCTTGACAATGTGCAGCTTGGGTAGCAGGTTGCAATCAGCTAACGTCATTTCATTGCCATCCAGAAATTTACGTGTAGAAAATTTGATGTCCTCCATACTGTTCTCATCAATTTCATCAGGTAAGGGAGAATTCAAATACTCATCCAGTTTCTGCAATGTTTTCAAAAGACCCCTCTCCAGGGCTGAAAAAAAAAAAATAGATGGAAATACAGTAAGAAAAAAAAAAAAACTACACAAGTCCTAAAGCAGAAGCTTTACTCTTCCAGACAAAACCTGTGTATTGCCAGACATGGTGGCACACGACTGCAATCCCAGCACTCAGGAGGCTAAGGCAGAAGGACTGCCACATGTTCAAGATCAGCCTGAGTTACAAAGTGAGTTCAAGGCCAACTTCAACTACATGGCAAGACCTTGTCTCAAAAAAAACAACAACAAAAAAAAAAAACAAACAAAAACAAAAGAACAAAACAAAACCAAAAAAGTTTGTGTCACGTGCTTATTCTGACACTTGGCTCCACAGAACCAGAAGGCCAAGGTCTCTGGCTCATGGTTCTTCAAGTAAATATTAACAAGCCTGCCAGCTGCAGTTCATGGCGTCTGTCAAATCTTGTCAATCACTAAATGCATTGGAACACATGGTCCAACACAGTTGATGTTTAAACTGGACAAAAGAGCAGAGAAAGGGCAACTGTATTAACACATCCAGGGAAGAAATTCTCGACGAGACAGAGATTACAGTCTTCAATTTTAAGTCCTGTTCCACCAGAAATCTTTGGATTGATCACTAAGAAATGTATTAAGAAACACTACTATTTGGGATGTGTGCACTGTCTTTTATTACATAAGAAGCCAAGAATATGAAAAAGCACAAAGGTCAAGTTGGAGAGCTCAATTCTCACCATCACTGAATTGGGAGCCCCCGTAACAGCCAAGACAATTAAGATGCTACGACTGTGAAGTTTCAAGGAGAACTGTGAGCTACCACTCTGTATCAGGAACACCGCGGGCAATGACTATTAGCAGAAAAGTGGTAGGAATATCGATAGAAAGGAGTATGACATAACAAGGGGGAAATTATCCCTGCTTATCCTTTCTCAATTCTCTCCCCCAGTATAGATGAATGTGCCCCAATAACAGTACTTTGCAAAAAAAGTTAAATATCACAACCTTGTCTGTGATAACCCACACAGCGACAAGTTTGAATAAAGCTGAATCCTTAAAGGCAAAAGGCAAAGCCTTAAGGCCACCCATCAGATACTTCAACAGTAACATGAAGAGGCCCTGGCCTAAAAGCTCTTCTTCCAGACTGCTCCAGCCCACTCATGCCTTGGCCCTTTCCCTGGAGTTCAGACAGCTGATGGGAGATGTGGCTATGTCAGGGTGTACGGGCACAAAAAATAAATGAATGGACTGCAGGGGTACTTAGATAAAAGTCGACAGGGTTCCGGAGCCAAGTGAATGTGGAGAAGGGGCACAGATGTGTTCAGCGCATCTGAGGTGCCTGTAAGACACTGGCGTACAGATACCTGCTGGACAGCTAGGTGTCAGAGTCTGGACAGGCTGGGCTAGAGCTAACCTGAGGAAGTTCTAAGAACATAACAAACATAGAAGCTTTGACGGGGACAGGCAGAGGGCCTAGGGCAAGGCCTAAGAACACCACCTAGCGGGTGGGAGAGGAGGAGGAGCCTGCAGAGAGGACAGCTTGGGATTGAGTTAGAAAAACCCTCAAATCCTAGTCAGTCTTTTTGACACAAGGCAGACTCCTGTAACGTTCTGCATCATGGGATTCCTCTATTACATAAAAATATAATTAATTGTATCTGTTTAGTTTTTGCCAGTCTTGCCAATTTTTTTTTTGCAACACAAGCCAATCTTTATCGAAAACAGTAGTATTAACACTAATAATTTATTACAATAAACATGCCTTTAAGAATTTTTAATCTTGGGTTCAGTCCCCCACACACAAAAAAAAAGCATTTTAAATATGAGCTCATCTACTCATCAGATTGCATAAAAATTAAAATACTATCTATGCGTTCACACCTAACAACTGGCTCAGGATGGGTGGTTCACTTCCTTTATACTGACAGGGAAGTTTAAGGCAGAGGTGAGGACACCTTTAACCTGAAAGGCAATGCTGATTTAAGCTTTTCAAAGTACCAACAGCCTGGCGTGGTAGTGCACATTTGTAATCCCAGCATTCAGGAGGCTGAGGCAGAAGGATTGCAGCAAGTTTGAGGCCAGCCTGGGACACACCGTAAGTTTAAAGCTAGCCTGAACTACATAGCAAGTCTCCAAAAAAAAAAAAGGAACTATTATTTTTCTATCTAGTCACAGCCCATGAGGGTCCCCGGGGCCTTTGCTCCAGGCTGCCCTCATGACAACCCCCCAGGAGCAGTCTCAGATCTGCCCCCACTCCTGTTACCGCCCACCAGCCTGAGCCAGGGCCCAAGACCCATCCTGTCCAGGCAGCTGCCTGCCAGGATCATCTGGAACAGCCTGCCCTCTGGAAATGCATTGGAGCTTCCGGGATCGAAGCTGCTCCTCTGTCTCATCACCCCGAGAGACTGAACTATTAGTCCTATGGACTAAAGCAGGGTGATTCCCAGAGGTTTTCCATTCTTCAAATGAACAGAGAGTGGGAAAGAGATGACAAACCCTTGAAACATGCAAGATGTACCAAGACCACACCCTCCCCACCTCAGCTCAGCACCCACAGTACACTCAAAGTCTCCCAGGCTTTGGGAAACTCAGGCAGAGTCTTGCTAAACTTAAGTTGTCCAACTTGTAGGATTGCAGGTGTGCACCACCACCACAACCAGCACAACTGATTTTCCTAATGGCCGCACATCCAGAGAATTTTTTACTCTGATAGTTTGTAGAATTTGGGGAGTGGGGGTTATTGAGACAGGGGCTCACTATGTAGCCGAAGCTGGCCTCATACTCACAGTGATCCTCCTGCTTTAGCCTCCTGAGCACTGGGATTGCAGGAGCACACTGCCACACCGAGCTGGAGTTTATAGAGTCTTTTGAATTTTCTATATACATTTTAAAAATGCTATACCTGAGGTACGGCTCTATAGTAGAGCACTAACCTAGCAAGCGAGGGCCTGGGTTCAATACCCAGCATAATGAATGAATGAATGAATGAGTGAAGTCAAATAAGTAAAGATAGTTGTACTTGACTACTACTATATTTTTGCCAAAATCCAGGAATGAATGTCACTATAAAGAACATCAAAAAAACTTAAAATGTGAAGAGTTGGCAGTCATTTTTACTTGAGCAGATACCAAATTTAATGTGTTAACTCAAGTGATGGGTAACAGGATCATAGAGCTATATACATTTTTCACTAACACAAGGTCACCGTAGCCACAGCCAAGATCATGCCAACTTACTTTTCAGGAGAAACAAACAGCAGAGGGCACTGGAGCCTAGCAAATAAAGTTGAAGCACTAAGACAACTCAATTGCAATGGGAGAAGTGACAGGGAATCAAGACACTGAAAAATTAAAAATTGCCAGGTGTGGTGGTGCACATCTATAATCCCGGCCCTCAGGAAGCTGAGCCAGGAGGATCATGTTGAGTTTGAGGCCAGCCTAGGCTACATAGTCAGTTCAAGGCCAGCCTAAACTACAGAGAGATCCTGTCTCAAAATAAACTAATAATAATCGAGAATATAAAACAATATATTTAACCTTGTATTAATTGCATGTAAGCTAAAGATAATGCATAGAGTTAGCTAAAAAGTAAAATCTACAAATTAACAAGAGAATGCAACCTGAGAAATGGGTAATAAAGAGTCCAGTACATAATGAAAAACTTCTCATGGTTGTACTTAAAAGGAAAAAAGAAAAAGAATAAAATTTCAAGATTGTTGAAAACAAAGAATAAATTAGTTTGACACAATTTTTATCTATCAGTACAACATATGGCCAACAAAACAAACCAAAACAGGTACCAAGAGGTACAAAAATAGCACAATTTAACAAACATAATGAAGTTTTCAACACTATCACAAAGGAATTTGAAGCTGCTTAAAATAAAGAAAATGTCAAGATTAACCACTAGAAGGCAGCAGCAGGTCCTGAGAAAGTAGCTCCTTGTGTCTTGCTAATAAATAGCACTATTATTTTCCAGTATACTTGGTTGTTGTAATGCTTGTATCCCTAAAAAGCTGTTTCAAATGCACTCAAAAAAATTAAGTGCAACAGAAACCATGTATTTTTAAATTAATTATGAAAATCAAAACACCCTTTTTTGCCTACATAATACAGCAAAATTTAAATGGTTACCTACCTATCCCCCATATACAAATACCAGGATCATCAGAAGCAGAGGCAATCAATACTTTCAGGTTTGAAGGACATATAAATTCAGATTTTGAGAGAACAATTTGGCAAAATAGAGTAAAATTAAAATGCACAAACCTTCTGACCTATTCCGAACTTAGCTTGAAGGACATTTACTGGCAGCACTGTTTTGTCACAGTAAAACCTCAAGACAATCTATATGTTTCTCATCAAGGAAATAATTAAATGATAATCCATAGTGTGAAGTAAGAAGCATTTCCAAAAACTGAAGTAGATCTATATTTTAACATGGATTTCAACTACATAATAAATGAGAAAGACACCTACATCATGGGAATATATAAACACATTTATGTAAAATGTTTGTAAAGAATATGCAGAAAAAAGTGTGCACACTAAATTTTTTTTGTCTTTTTGCGACAGGGTCTCACTACGCAGTTCAGGCTGGCCTTGAGCTCACTTTGTACCCCGGCTGGTCTCGAATTCACAGCAGTCCTCCTGCCTCAGCCTCCTGAGTGCTGGGATTACAGGCGTGCACCACCATGCCTGGCCAAACTAAGTTGTTGAAGAGGTCATGTAATATGATTACAGAAGACACTGAAGTTATATTAATTTATTTTTAATACTATTTTATCTCTCCAACAAGCATGTTTATCTGCATGACTTGAATGAGTAAAATTCAGGAAGCAGAAAGCAGTAAAAGAACCATAAGCATTTCTGTTGTACAATTAATAATGAAGACAATAAAGATTATTTTAAAATTATGAGCACTTAGCATGGGTAAAACCAAATTTCACAGCTACTGCTAGTTTTATAATGAAGAGAAACTTTCCACAAATTTTAAAGGCTAGGTTGCACATAAAATGGCTAGCAGGAAATGAAGAGGGATAATGAATATTTGGGGTAGACATTCTTTGTTTTTTTTCGGTACTAGAAATCGAACGCGGGGTCTTGCACTTGCCAGGCAGGCACTTGTGTCGCTGAGCTACATCCCCAGCCCCGATAATGAGTACTTAAAGATGACTAAGGACACAATGTGATTTTCACAGTCACAATTGTGAACAACCATCTTCACTCCCGCTTTCCTGAGAGAAAGCCAGGATGGGGCAGGGCAGGGGGGCAGGGGAGGCAGGGCACTTGAATAAAAAGAAATTAATTGTTACTTTTAGATTATTAGTTTCCTTTTAAAAACAGGAATTTGAGCCCAGGGGTGGTGCTGCACACCTGTAATCCCAGCACTCTGGAGCCCAAGGCAGGAGGATCACTGCAAGTTTAAAGCCAGCCTGAGCTGTACAGCAAGACCTTGTCTCAAAAAAAAAAGAATAAAAACCACACAAATTTGGACATTATGAAATAAGCCTCAAGAATATACAATGGCAGACTGCAAAAATGGTAAAATCATTTCTCTTCAGAATAATACAAATGCCAACAGACTAGTTCTATTTGGGAGCTTAGTAAATTACATAAGTTAATGAAATCACAGAACTGAAAAAAATTGGGGGGATTTGGGACAAGTAATGCCTAATCTATCCCTATAAAAGTAACTGCCCATTAATTTCTTTTAATACTTAAAAGGGTATACCAAGAGAATTATAAGTAAGTATTCTTTCTATCTATCGTTCATTCATCAGTTTCCCTTTATTGTACTTTTTTTTTGGTACCAGAAATTGAACTCCAGACCTCACACTTGCCAAGCAGGCGCTTATGCCATGGAGCTATATCCCTGGCCCTCCCTTTATTTTAATCTTTAAATCTTACTTGCATCCCAGTCTAAGCACTGGTCCTTATTTCACTTTCACTGCCCCAAAGCTGTAACATCAAGACATCTAATCCATGCCTTAGAATTAGGTCCTAAAAGGTCTCACACTCGTCCAAAATAGGGCTGGGGATGTAGCGCAGTGGTGGAGTGCTTGCCTAGTATGCATGAAGCCCCGGGTTTAATCCCCAGTGTCCCTCCATGTCTAAGTATACTGGATCTTCTAACTATTTAATAGGCTGATAAAAACTAATCAAAGTCTGTCTGCTCTAATTTACCACGTAAAAATTACAAACTCATCCCTGTAAATTATCAGTATTTGGGTGAGGTGTTTGAGGGAATAAGGAGACAGATTACTGTCACTAATTCAAGGTTTATTGAAGGTATCTAATCACACTAAACAGAGAAAAGGTGTGCAGGCAACATACATCAGGGACACCCATTCAGCTCTACTGTAATCTGAATAAAGTTTTCTAAAGTCTCATGGCCATGACAGGTACCTGGAGGGGGGAGTTGCTTGGCAACTGGGATTCTTGTTTACCAATAGGTAATTTAGGATAACATCTTCTAAATTAAGCTCTGAGAAATCCACTATGCTGTTTGTTCTTACTGGTAATAGCATTCTGAAGACAGTAAGCGTAGGTGGCTACTTAAGGCTGTAACAAATTGACAGAAGAAAATAGAATCCACAGTTATGCTTAAGGAAGTCGCTTTTTCTTCCCCAACTCTCACCCACTACAGCAAAAGCAGTCATTCTACTCCCTCTCCCCTCCACCAAGTGTGAGCAGACACTTCTACCACCCTCACCCTCAAAAGCCGCAGAGGAATACGAACCTAACTTGAAGAGAGCTGAAAGCACAGTGCAGCAAGAGGCTCTGTTATATGTAACGGGCAATTTTATGAAAAGAGCGCCCCATCTGCAAGAGGGCAGGCACCAGAGAAGGCACTGCTACGGGGCCAAGCTATGGGGCGGCGGGGGAGGGGGGGGGTCATCCCACCATCACCGCTTGCTTAATCTAAATTGCTTAGACAAAAACATTAGCCAGGAAAAAAAAAACTAATTACTAAAGAAAACTGCTTCCAAACCAAGGGAGCTACCGGAACACATTATAAATAGATGTAAGCCAGGCTTGGTCACTGAAATTTTTCCTTTTTTCCTTCACTGTAGAAAAACATTTCATGCAGTGAATATCATTACAGAAAACAGCAGCAAAATACTCTGACATTCGATACAATTATAAAGTGCTGCAGTTTTAAAGATAATAGAAAACACATTAAGCTTGGAAATCTACTTAATGAAATCACATTCACTTTGGGGATAGCAGGTAATTTGAAAGAGGGTCCTGTTATGTAGCCTAGACTGATCCTAAAGTCAAGATCTTCCTGCCTCAGCCTCCCACGTGCTGAGATTATAGGCATGGACTACCACATGTAGCAAGTATTTCACTTTTTAAAAAAATATTTCTTCCTGCTTAACTGGCTCTGATATTTTTTCCCCATGGTGTGTACTCTTTTTTACTTGTTGCTATGAACAAGTACAGCCCCACCCAAACTACTGAATGTCTAAAACTATTTTTAGGTAGAAGTTAGCTTTTCTGGTTACTGCTGTAACTTTAAAACATTACCACTCTCTCTACACAGTTTTCTCCAGAGAGAACAACCCTTAAAACCCCAGAGGAAAAGGAGAAATCACTGAATGGTGCAAAGACAGGCTCGTTAGAACAGACTATTTTCAAGGAAACGTTCGTTCCCTTCACACCGCATGAATTTAGTAAATGAAATAAAGTATCTTTTAAAAAATTAAAAAATGGCATCTGTACCTAAGCAATGCTCACATGGATGTACAACTTGAAACTGAAACATGATGCAAATTTGAAAGGCTGTTGAGTCTAATTATTTTCTGAAACCAAAAACTGTTCTGTAAGGATAATTAGTCCAAAAAATCACTCACACAGGTTAAGGCTTGCTGGTATCCAACAATAAACGAAAGATGTAGTAACAGTTTAGGTCAGGCTAAGTCAAATGTATTTCAAACCACAACCACACAAACCATTATTGTTCATTTTCTCCTAATTCCCTGCATAGCTCCATTCATGGTAACTTCTTAAAAACATATAACAGCTTTACTCATTAAACATCTTATCACACAAGAGATGACAGTGCTGGGTCACTAGCTAGAAACATGACACCAACATAAGGACTTACCCCAGTTTATCATCAAATCTCTAATCAGCTCCAAAAGACAGTTTTAATACATGGAGGAGCCAGGCATGGTAGCACACACCTGTAATCCCAGCACTGGTAGGCTGAGGCAGGAGGATCACTGCAAGTTCGAGGTCAGCCTAGGTGACACAGTGAGTTCAAGGCCAGCCTGAACTACACAGTGAGACCCTGTCTCAAAATCCCAAAACCAAAAACAAATAAAAATACCTGGAGGAATGACTCCAAAGTAATCATTTATAATCACTGTCATCATAATAGTTTTTAACTGTTTGGGTGTTGTACTAACAGTAATTCAATATTTTGGTTTTTACCTTCATTAGCCTCTGGCCTTGAGTTCTTGATATAAGCAGAGAATTTGGCAAAGATGTCCATTCCGGCAGTATTTGACTCTGGGTGTTTTGGTGAAAGCTTTAAGTACCTAAATAGAAAAAGGGATACTGTATTAACGAACCTTCAAAGATGCATTAGCATATTCTACGAACCAACAAACCACTATGCTAGCAGCTACTAGACAGCTTTCTAATCATTAGTACTCTAAGGAATGTCGTCATCTGCTTTCCACGGTGTTTTTTAAATGCACCTTTTTCCTTAGGAAACAAAGCTCTACAGTACTTTGTTCACATATCAATATTCTGGGCAACCGAAGGACATCTGCACTCCACCTCCACTTGATACATTAGAATGCTAGGAAAGCAATCCACTTGTTCAGCGACTGGTGCCAGGCCACCAGGAGTCTTAGAATGAGATCGCTCAAGCAGTGTTGTCCAAGAGGACTTTCTGTGATAAAGGAATTGTTCTGTATCTTCACTGTCCATTATGGCAGCCATTAGTGCCAGCGAGCTATGTGAATACAAATATAAATGAAATCACAATGAAATAAAATTAAAAATTCACTTCTCAGTTGCATTCGTCACTTTTCCAGTACTTGGTAGTCACCGCACAGCAGCCAAGCCCTTAGCATGCCACACACTGAGCCAGCCCTGTGTGCAGTACGTCTCCCACTGACGGCAGGGAAACAGCCTGGGTTGCTCGAGCATCTCGATCACCCACAGCAGGCTAAGCGGGAAAACAACAAGAGGTAGCACTCACTATAAATCTGCACCCACTGACTCATTCGAAACCTAATGCCCCTGGGAACTGAATTTTTGAGACCGTACTTCAGAAATCTTAATTTTAAAGTTAAGAGCAAATCCCACAGCTCAATGGACCACACGCCTGCTGTGACATTCTGGCTAGGAAGCCTGTCTTTCCCCATCCCTTCTGCCTCCTGAACTCTCTCAATTTGGGCCCAGTCACTCACAAATAAGCAGATCTTTCTGACCTATCTCATGTGATCTAAACCTGCTCTTACCATGTTCTTTAAAGCTTAGACAGCCCCTTTGCTTAGTACAGCTTATTAGCCTAGCAGGAAACCAGTTATGACTAGCACTAACTGTAAAGAACCTAAAATAAGGCCCTGGTCATTTTAAGGTCTCTAAACACAAGCTAAAGCTTCAAATCGGTAGCAATGTTTCCAAGCATATTTTATCTGATACTCACTTGGGAGGGCATAAGACTTCTTCAAGAAATTCCTCAATCTTATTGACATCCGTTTTGACTTCATTGTTAAAAGTTATAAATGGTGGGTGGGTCCCCGGAGCCAAGTTCTGCAGGTCCGCAGGCTTCCTGTCAGGCAAAAGAGTGGTCAAAATGAGATCATTTTTTACTCTAAGAAGGCAATAATACTTTATGTCTCAGAGTGGTTCTAAACCTTTTAAAATATAAGCATGAATAAGACAGTATTTTTTTCACGAAGTAGAAGAACTGTAATAGTATGCTAACAGAAGCACATCTCCACAGAGTACATAATCTATGGCAGGACGAGGAAGAGCCTTTGTCAACTAAAAGACCAAGTCCTTCATTCACATTCTAAATTTAAATAAGGTGCTTATTAGAGATGGCTGAGAATGAGGTGGGAAGAAGACTTGGGAAAGTCAGCTTCTGGTTTCAATTCTGTTCCCAACTACTGCAACCCCACCTATGATGGGGACTGTGTATGCCGTCACTTCTCCAGCCACTTTTCTTCAAAGCAAAGGAGAAGAGAGGTTAACTCTCACAGTCAGTCCTTTTCAACTACAAGGTGGGTTACTCAACTCCAAGTCTTGGGTTATGGTGTCTCTTCCCAGTATCTGCCCTCATGCTGTACTTCTTTTCCTTTTACTTGGCCCAAATTTGCTTGGCAGGGCCTGCTTCCTTCCCTACCTTTAATAAATGTAAAACCTCACTATTGTTAATAATAATTTTAAAAAAGATTACAAATCCTGGTGCTCTCTTCTATTTTCAAAACCCAAAATTAACAAGGAAAATGACTAGTATCAAAATTACTTCAATAAATAAAAGATAGCATAAGTAAAAAGCAACCCAGGTGGATAAAATATTATATATGGAGTGAGAAAGGCTTAAAACCTGTATTACATAAGAATTTTGGCCACACATGGTGGTGCACACCTTATGTAATTTCAGCAATCGTGAGGCTCAGGCAGGAGGACTGCCACAAGTTCGAGGCCAGCCTGGCCTGCACAGTGAGTTCAAGACCAGCCTGAACTAAAACAGCAAGACCCTGTCTCAAAAAACAGTAAACATTAAACTAAAAAAAGCATTATAAGCCAGGCATGCTGGCACACGCCTGTGATCCCAGCACTAGGGAGGCTGAGGCAGGAGGACAGTTGCAAGTTCAAGACCAGCCTGGGCTACAAAGTGAGCTCAAGGCCAGCCTGAACTGCATAACGAGACCCTGCCTCAAAAAGATTAAAAAAAAAAATTAAAAATAAGAAAGTATTATAATAACATATCATGCCAAGCAACTTCATCTCTTTTATAGCCCATAGAGCTATTTATCTTGTTTTGAAATTGGCTGTCCTGCCTGCAATGCCCCCTCCTGACCACAAACACACCGAATTTGAATAAAATAAAAGAGATCTTTAAGTATTTCACCAAGGTGCAATACTTCCGTCAGGAAGAGTGGACCCTACATCTACACTTAGCACAGCGATCAATCTGTCTCTTGCTCTTGTTCACCCACAGTCCCTTTGACTCCATCTTTCAAACTGGTTTGGGAGTATCTCTTCTTCTACGACTACATTTCTATTTTTTCCAGTTTTTTGAGTCAGGGTCTCGCTATGCAGTTCAGGCTATCCTCAGACTTCCAACAATCCTCCTGCCTCGGCCTCTTGAGTGCTAAATTTACAGGTGTGAGCCACCATACCTGCCTTTTAATGTCTACATTTCCAATCAAAGACTATGATTAATTATTTGATTAAGCCAAATTTTCTAACACAGAGGCCTTCCTCTTTCCAAGCTCTAGGGGCCTCTCTTCCAAACCAAAAGAAAATAAGACATGTTCTCTAGGAATTTCTACAAGAACCTAAACTCCTTGTTGGGCATGATATTGCGCACCTGTAATCCCAGCACTCAGGAGGCTGAGGCAGGAGGACTGCTGAGTTCAAGGCCTGCCTGAACTACGTAGTGAGACCTTGTCTCAAAAACAACAAAAAAGAACCTAAGTTCCGAAAGAGGAGTCTAAAAGTTATAATATGATTTGATTTCCAACTCTGATTCTTTGCACAAATCCTGAAGGAGGTCTTCCAGGCCCACATTCATTTTAGTGAGGTAAGCCTATGTAACATTAGTTACTTCTGTCAGGTATTCAACTCCAAATTAGAACTAACTCTTTCCTATTCTCTAGCTCATTGATTTCTTTTGTGTACTCCCTTCTAGTCGTCATCCAGAACACCTGTTCTTCTTTGGTTACTATGGTTACTAAAACCGCCACCACCGTGTCTTTAGTCTGGAAGTCACCTTACTCAGCTCCTCACTCAGACTCCCACATTTGTTTCCACCTATACTTGATTTCCTCCTCGACTCAGGAAGACCTTGTATATAATAAAGAATACAGAAACTCGAACAATTCCAGATTTATATACTTATTTTCACACTTTAAGATAGTTAAGTAACAAAAAAGCAGTATCATCAAAGCAAGAAAGCTAATAAAATTTGTGTAAAATATGAGAGGCTGACAATGTGGCACAATTTTCTAACGTGTGCAAGGCCATGAGTTATATCCACAGCAGTGACAGAAAAACAAAAACAAGATAGCCACAAAAGAGGAAAACACACATACATCTTTCATGAGACAATGCCAGTAAGAAAGTTGTTTAAGGGCTGGGGCTGCAGCTCAGTGATGGAACACTCGCTTAGCATATGTGAGTTCCTGGATACAGTCCTCAATATAAGGGGAAAAAAAGGTTAATACTGTCATGTACAAAATGTGAATACTAGGAAAACAATTTTGTCACTCTAAAGTCATGAAGCTATAAACATTTTTATAAATAACAAAGTCAGCTAAGTAGAAGGTAAGAGTAAGTCTGTCCTTAAAAACAAATAATCTTTCTATGAACAGGGTAGAAGTGGCTAGAGGGGAAGACCACACTCAATACTTTAAAATAACTCATGGAAGCCAGGTGTGGTAGCACACGTCTGCAATCCCAGCACTCAGGAGGTTGAGACAACAGGATCTTTGAGAGTTCAAGGCCAGCCTGAGCTACATAGAAAGTTCAAGACAAACCTGAACTACACAGTGTGATCTTGTCTCAAAATCAAATCAAACCAAACCAAACCAAACCAAACCACAAAAAAACCTGATGGAGCCAGGTATGGCGGCACATGCCTATATATAATCCCAACACTCTGGGAGGCTGAGGCAGGATGATGGTAAATTCAAGCCCAGTCAGGGTAACTTAATGAGACCCTGTCTTAAAATAAGAAATCTACAGCCCCCTGTGAAGGGCCTGGGTTTAATCACTAGTACCAGTAAATAAATAAACAAATAAATGAGTAAATAACCCATGGAGGAGACCAAAATAAATAACAGCTATTATAATTAATTTTACAGCTTTTAAGCTTTCCAAACAAAAATATTTACTAGAGAAGGAGAAAAGTAGCACAGGAGAAAATAAAGATGGAAGATAAAGAACTGGATAAAGTCCCAAACTGAATGGCTCTGCCACTTACCACCACCAAATGGCTAAGTAACTTATGATCTCTTTTGGTCTGGATTTTCCCATCTGTACTATGAATATAAGACCTGTTTTTCCTCTAAAGATCCAAACAGCTGGGCATAGTGGCACATGCCTGTAATCCCAGCACTCGGAGGCTGAGGCAGGAGTATTGCTGCGAGTTTGAGGCTAGCCTGGGTTATAAAGTGAGGTCAAGGCCAGCCTGAACTGCACAGCGAGACTCTGTCTCAAAAACATAAAAAAAAAAAAAAAGATGAAATCAAATAATGCACATGGATGTGAACTAAATAGAGTCATTACTGCTTTCAGTATCACAGCAAAGCAATGCTCTGGAGACGGAGATAGGGTCACCATGAGTTCAAGCCCACTCTAGATAAATAGTGAGATCCTGTGTCAAACAAACAGTTAAAATACAAAGGTTTGATACCATGCTTGTCTCCCTTTAACATCTGCCGTTGATGAGTTTTTTTTTAATGTATCTTAAAGGACATAAAAACTTAAATATTGTAATATGACAGATAACCTAATAATTGTATTTACATCAAAATGACAAACATGATATTGCTGCTTGTCAAACAGAAAAATAAAGAAATTAAATAAAACACAAAGGTGGTGAAACTGAGTAAGACAACTATCTCAAGTCCTTGTTCCAAGTGAAAGCATATTTAAGAAGAAACTTTAAAGCTCTAAATGGCAGACTGCACAAATAAATGCACAAGTTCTGAGCAGTGAGGTGGTTGTCTTACAAGCTGTATCATCAACCAAGCAGAACCTAAGGTTCTGTGACTTCAAGGCCTCCTCGCACTTTGGGGCCTCGGGCAATCTGTTTGACCCACAAAGGTTCCTTCTACAGACACTTCGCAGAAACTTAAGATTGTGAGAACTGCACTAAGAGATAACTGAGTTTCACTGAGATAAATGAAACTGAACTGGTAAGAAAATAATTGCTAAAAATCTGGGGACGTTTTTGGTTTACTTCATAAAAAGCCCTTCCACAAATATTCACCTCATTCAAATGCTTCCCTTAATTGATGTCTAGAGAAAAGAAAGGGCACAGACCTCAAGCCTTGAAATACGGGCCTCATTCTCATCAGTGTTTGGGAGTTTCCCCCTATATTTAGCCTTCTTTATCCTACTAGAACTGTGGACTCAATAAATTATTCTATTCTCTCCCATTTTGTTCCTAGATAAAGAAAGGAAATAAGGAGAAGTGAAAACAAGAAATGAGTAGAGGAAAGGGAGGAACTTTAAAGGGGGAAATACTTTAAACAACTTCAGTGGCTTACTTTCCATTAAAATTTAGTTCGATATACTTGCAACAACTAAAGGCACTGGGCTGGCGGCTCAGCTCCAGCCGCTGCTTATACAATGAGCACAGCACAGCCGCATGACACTGGAGCTGGCTCATGAAGATGATTATCTGTAACTGGTTAGCTCAGCAAATGGAGGAAAAAGTGCCAAGTATGCAGAACTTATCTTTTGAGTTCTTTGTTTAAGGTGCTGCTTTGCAAAACATAAAATTAACTCACATATATCAAGAGAATATTGGACACTACATAAGTAATCAGATATACAAAAACATAGAAGTTAGTAACCAAGAATCCTGTAGTT